ATTTAGACTTTCTCTCTCTCTTTCTCGCGTGAAGTCTAGTTACATCTTTTAGATATATTATCATATATATCACTAGCATTTTCTGCGGATCCGCCCGCGTTCAGATGACCAAAACCAAATTCTTAGATGTTACATATTAGTATATTCTTACATTACAGTTTTTGTATTTTTTCTCAAAAATGAGATATTTTCTCGCGGTAAAAAGTATCCTATATGTTGACCCGGATAACCAGCTATCACCATACCAAATTTCATCAAAATCCCTCCAGTGGATTTTCTGTGATGCGGTAACAGACAGACAGACATACAGACAAAAATTCTAAAAACTATGGATTCGGCCTCTGTACTGAAAATAATGTTTATTTCAATAATATTTTCCAAAAAACATCTGACGTACAGATTCGGCTTAGTTACAATTTCATTATATGTTTAGATTATAAGTACTCACACTTATATCATTCGATTTCAAAAAAGAAGAAAGTAGTTTTTTCGAGTGAATGTTTTTATTTGTTACGCAATACCTTTGTCCAATTATTGTAAACCTTAATTAAATTTAAATTATTGTAAAACTTGAGGTTAATGTAGAACCAAATTACTTTCTTATAAAAGTAATTTAGAAACAAGCAACAATTTAAATCTTTTACACCTTATATGAGGCCAGCGGCATTCATTTCGCCGGGATTACTCAGTTAGGCTAATCCAGATAATGACTTATGCTTATAATAAGAACGCAGGAGTAGATAACTACACCTAGTAGGCTTCGTCTCCTCTATTCTAGAGATATTTGTAGTTGCATAAGTTTTTGGATATTTCTGTTTTGGGCACTTATACTATATGCCCATAATTTTGGGATACTACAAAGTGGTACGCAATACTGTTGCATAGAACTTTTCCTTTATTTAGCAAACGCTTGAATTAACTTAGATAACTTATGCCCGATTTCACCAACAACCTATAAGCCATCTACGTATGGGATCCCTAGCTTAAAAGTCCCCTAAGCTACCCCCTAAATTAAATTTCGTTTTACGATCATCTTTAAGCCTATATTTCGAGCACCTAAATTTAGGGGGCCTTTTAATATTTTAGGTGACCCCTAACTGTCGGTGAAACTGTTCCCTAACAGCCCCCTAACCATGCTTAGGGGATCCTTTAAACTTAGGTGACGTTGGTGAAATGGGGCATTAGTCAAGCGAGCATATAAATGCTCCTTTACAAATGTAATATTTGCTTAGGAAAATACTGCTACGACTGATATTTTTTGTAAAATTTTAATTATAGAAAAAAATTAGGTACCTGTTTTAATAATTTAATGATTACCAGACAGCATTTCTAATTCTATTTAGATAATCGATGTGCATGATCGTCTGGAGAGTGCTTATAAATCTGCACTAAACTTTATCATGCTAAAATTATAAATGCGAAGATTTATGGAAAAGGCTTTGTTACTTCATCTTCATGTTGTAACGCCTCGATAGATTTAAGTGAAATTCGTAACCAGGACAGCTTATGTGCTAGATTAAGGCGAAATATATAGGTACTACACGAAATAATTTAGATCATCAAATAAAGACAATTCAAGGAGACTATTTCAATTCTAACAGTTTCTAAAACTAACTTCTTTATATATTTAAATAATGACTTTTCTGGCAACAGAAAAAAATATCAATACAGATCTTTGTTTATAATTTAAGAGAAAAATTATAAATCGACCTGTATTTATTTTTTATTTCCTAGCAAACTACAACAAAAAAAGATATACGTAAGTGAAACATATTTCATGTACGCCCTATTGATCAAAAGCTATCGCCCTTAAAATAATTTGGATAGCCTCGTTTTCTTCGAATAAAAAATATCGTAAACTCTGTCAGTTTATGTTTCTTTGTTATTATCAAAGTCATGGGCGACTTTACGTAATATATTTTCTGGTTACATTTCTTTCTACGTTACTTTATATTCGTCGTGAGCTTGTGAAATTAATCATCCAATGATGATTTCGTTTTCGTGCACCGAAATGGGTTCTAGGCAATACAGGGCATTTGAAATTCAGGGCACGATTCAAATTAAGTGATAAAGCGTTGGGAGTACGCCGCCTGCGCCCGCCTGTCACCGGGTAATGCTCAAAGATGTCGCGTGCTATTGTACTACGGTGTTGCTTAACTAAATATCGAACCGATTATATCTGTGTAACACCACTCACCTTATTTTTAGTGTGCTGTTTAGAACTTTTTTTAATATATTATATTTATTTTCAATGAGTGATTTAGGTGTAATTTGTATGAAGATTTTGCCGTTTTGAAATTTTGATGGGCCATGACTTGAAATTCAATCCAATTCATGAATTGAATTGAAATGTATATATAGCATAAATTTTTCAAGTAGATGCTCTTATACACCTACATAAATATTCATTAAGTATATCGCCGAGATAAGTTTAGGCTACAAAGTAGAAAAAAAAGAATAAAATTTTCAATATATAAAATTTCAACCTATACTAATATTATAATGAGGTAAAGTTGGTGAGTTTGTGACTTTGTGACGTTGTAGGGGGTAATCTCTGGATCTACTGAACCGATTTAGATGAAATTTAGTAAAAAGATAGTTTGAGACCCTAGCAAGGGCATAGGATCTTATCATCCCGGAAATCATCCCTTAAGGAGGTGAAAATGGGGATGAAAGTTTATATTGGGAAGCAAGTCATTCATAAACTTCGCTCTCGTCGCTAGTCTTGCATAAACCTTTTGCGTGCACTCTAACAATTAATTATTATACCTATTTCCTGCACTAAAATGTACAGTGCTGAAAGCATATGATGAATTACACGAGACTAACAATTTATTATATTTTTGATGCTTTGTTATTGTTATTTAAAGTTTTTTATTATGTCTCTACATCAATTATATAATATATTCAATGTTTAAGTAAATAAGTAAAATATGTAATATACTATGAAAATATATATTACATTACATAATTTTACATTTAAAATATCTATATAGATAGCCATGGAGGCCATGATGATGAGTTTAAATGGCGCTACTAAGCCTTTGGTAGCATTCCATTACCATGAGGTTCGATGTTTGTCTTAGATACCTACTAATATAGACGTTTGTTCCGGCAAATTTATTACCAATGGAGTGCTTGGCACAACCATTTAGTTAGTAATGTCTCTATGTAGACAAAAGGAAGGCAATTCGTTCATAAATTACATATCACGTACATAAAATGTATCTAAGTTATTTCTGTATGCGACTAAGATAAAAAAATGTAGCTATATACCATAATAAACCCATATAAAATCATTTTTTAAGTACAATCATTAACATACAATGTAAAAACACATATTATACTATACTAGCAGCATCCGCGGCTTCGCTCGCGTCCAAACTTCCGATAGCTAACAAAATTCAGAGGATCACCCGCTGGGCTAATCTGAAGATTAAATGAAAATTTCATCAAAATCGCTCTAGCTGTTTTAGAGTCCATAGGAAACATACACATACGCACATCGATTTTTATTTTATTTAATCAACAATTTAAATTTATTTATTGCTCGGATAATGGAGTCTTTTTTGAAAATTTTATGACACACTGACCGCAGCTCTAACTACCGGATCCATTTGTGAATTGAAACCTTCAGGGACCCACTCAAACATACACAAAAAATATCATTAAACTCGTCTCGGCTGTTTACGAAATAATCAGTGGCACACTAACTGCAGCGCCACCTACTGGGTACATTTGCATTTTCAAACCTTGCAGGAAAACATTGAAATATACACACAAAATTTCATCCAAATCGGTCCAGTCCTTTAGGAATAGGTTAACAAACACAAGTACAGACGAATTATATATATTAAGATATAACAGTCAGTTATCAATAAAGCGAGCACGCTTCAACTACGATATTCATTATAGGCCATTCAGGGTAAGCAGGAGAAATTTGTAAGGGATGAAAACGCTGTTTATGATTTTATGATACTCCCCTATTCCCGAATATCGTATCATAACGATAAAGTGTTACGGCTTTCCAGTACCCATAAAAGGGGAAAGAAAAAATGTCACAAGCATACACGTTTCATTTATAAGGGATATATGTAGGAGCTAATGATATTTACTTTAATAAGATGAACATGCGATGTTGATATCTTACCTTAATAACTTGATAAATAGAAGAAAATACTTAGAAATAATATACAGAAAAACTTGCGTATGCTTTTCATATAATGATTTCTTAATAAAATTGATATGATCGAGGTTCATACGAAATTCCATCAGCGAAATAGTTCCTTTAATATCTTTACAAATATTAACAAGTTATTTCGTTTATATTATTTTAAGGGTGGATATTATTGGATATATTATGTATAAAGATAATAAATAAAAATAAATAGGTATGTTGGGACATTAACACACAGCACCATGTGTTATGGGTACCAGATGGTTGATACACTACACACATATATATATATATATATATATAACTTTAAATACATACACATTATAAATATAAACACCCATGACTGGAGTACAAATGTTCGTGCTCATTACACAAATGAATGCCCCCAGCGGGATTCGTGCCCGGGACCGCTGGCACAGCAAGTAGGGTCACTACAAACTGAGCCAAACGTGTCGTCAAATAAATATATAGTAGTTAAACGATATTTCAATTAATGTATGGATAAGCAAGACGAACTTAGGTATTTTAGTTCAAACAAAATGTATCAACTCAACCTGTAAGATCATAAAAATGTAAAGGGGTCTTTGTGACCCAGGCTAGGTGCGGGGCGAGCGGTTAAATGTTGGCAAAGCCATCACGAGCGCTCAGTCGTGTAGGAGTCTTCGTGGAAGACGCACGTCCTGCGACTCCTTATATTCAAGTTACGTGTTACAATAGATGTTGATACAGATTTAACAGTGTTAAGTGATACTTATAATTTCCTTAATAATTAAGGAAAAGTTTTGTGATATGTGATGGGACTTTCTGGATTATATTGAAGAGGATGTTTGTTTTATTAGCGGTTCTCAGCTTACTTATCAAAGGTGACACTTAGTTTAATATTTAAAAAAATATTAATTATATATTAAAAATAAAACATACCTAACATAATAATATAATTTTTTTTCTATAGCGCAAATTTTACTAATTTTCATAAATTAGTTAAGAGATAATCGATAAAATAAAACTAATAAATTAAAAAAAAGACTTTAAAATATGAGGAAAATTATTATATGTATACAATTATATAACAAGCCTGTTAAAATGAAACTAAATATCATGTGTAAGACATTTTTTTTGTCACATAAGCTTTTCCTAACGACCCTTATTGATCAGCTCTATTATCGCTATTTACCTATATTATAGAGTGCTTAGTAGAGTTATAATAATATGCTTTACACGTTATAATACAAAAAAATGAATATTATGGTATTAGAGGTATTAATGAGTTTATTATTTATTAGTGTAAGAAATTATTTGATGATAACATACTTTACTGAATTGGTGTAGCTTAGCCAAAGTTGTAGTATCGTTTCAACTAATATAAGTTTTAATCGGTTAAGTTTTTACTCTTTAGTTAAGATAATAAAAATGCAGATAAACATACATTTTTACGAAATATGTATGTAGTTATAAATAATGTTGGCTAAACAGTAAGGTAGGTATATAACAACGATCTAAGTTATAAATATTTTATTAGAAACTTCGACGTTTAGCGTTACGGATAAATAATGTATACACAAAACTTACATACGTTCAAATTCCAATTGATTGAATAAATAAATATGCTTGCTATGTATATTAAATATTATTATGTTTAAAAGATATAAGAAAATATTATAAAAATTAGTACTTATCAAGATGAAAAAGAACTTTTAAATTTAAAAATTTTAAACCTGATTTTTAACATTTTAATTAAAAATAAACCAAATAATATCTCATGCCAGTTTAAAGGACAAAGTTTCTGTGGGAAAGCACAAGCTAAGTATTCTCAGGAAACCAAGTTGTAAAGTAAAATTAAAACATAATAAGTACCTGCTTATATATTATAATTTCTTACTCATAATACTAAATTTTATAAATTATTACAATTTTTGAGAATGGTGCGCTGATGGTTGTTTCTGAATATACATTTTTGTACGTCGTTTTCTTGATTCTGAGATTAGCGCATTCAAACATACTATTCAGCTTTATGTAATCGTACTAGCATTGCCCGCGGCTCCGCCCGCGTTCAGATGACCAAAAACCAAATTCTTAGTAGTATACTCTTACATTACAGTTTTTGTATTTTTTCTCAGAAATAAGATATTTTTCCGCAGTAAAAAGTATACTATATGTTGACCTGGATAATCAGCTATGACCATACCAAATGTCATCCTAATCTGTCCAGTAGTTTTTCTGTGATGCGGTAACAGACAGACAGACAAAAATTCTAAAAACCATAAATTCGGCCTCTGTATCGATAATAATGTCTATTTCAATAATATTTTCCAAAAAATATTTAATTTACAGATTTGACTCAGTTAGAATTTTATTATATGTATAGATATAGAATATATTTATATATGTACGACGTAGGTACAGTTATAGATACAGGTATATATATGTACAGGTAGATGTAATATACCTATATACATATGTATACCTACATATATACTTATGTATATAGGTACATAACATCCCATTTTTACTATAATATAAATGAGAAAGTACATATACCTATTTATTACGGGTAGGACTACTTTTATTAAGGAAAAAGATTTTCCACCGGATATGGTATTGAAGTTGTCCAAGTTAGTAAGTACCTGTTGATAAGCTACTTGATAAATTTTAAATCTCTTTGTAGATTTTTATGTTCTTTTACATAAATAATACTTATAGCTTAATTATCAGTTTAGCATAATATACACCTTATAAAGAAATTCGCACAATTTTTTGTTAATATTGCTTCTTGATTTTTACAAATTTAATTCTTTTTTTCGATATTTTGATTGATGATTTTTTCAGCGATTAATTATTATTATAAATAATACTGCAATCAAGTTCATGGTAAAATTTTGAATACTTTGATGCTACTTAATTACAAAAATATATAATTATTTATTTATATTTATTTACGTGTTGCCATAAACACAGTCTTAAACATTATTAAATTTACTTAAATTTAAAAAAAATATAGAGGTCCGTTTTATCTACAGCAACAGTCTTATAACAGTACAGACAAAGAACAGATATAATATAGATATATACTTTAAGCTATGACTAGGCAAGATCGTCCGTTTTGATAAATTGTCATTCTATAATCGATATCGCTAATAGAATAAAAACGTATGGGAACTTAATATTGTCCCTAGGTACCATTTACATTAGATAAAAGTAGTTATATAGACATATAATAAAATTCTAACAAAGCCGAATCTGTACATCAAATATTTTTTGGTAAATCCTACTGAAATAGATATTATTATCGATACTAGGCCAAATCTATAGGTTTTAGAATTTTTGTCTGTCTGTGACCGCATCACGAGAAAACCACTAGAAAGATTTTGATGAAATTTGGTATGATAATGGCTGGTAATCCGGGTCAACATATAGGATTTTTGCGGCGGCAAAATATCTCTGAGCTAAACGTTAAAACGTAACTAGGGACGAACCCGAGTGGAGTGCGGGTGAGTAGTTATATTATATAGTATGTGAGATACACCTTAGACACACACACATACACATACCTTAGACATACACACATGCTATCGCACACTTTTCTATAGGCATTTTTAGACCTACAATTTCTATTACATTATTTTGATATGATTATGTAGGTAACTATTATTTCATGTAGATATTATTCTGATGTATCTCTTATGGCTTTAGCTAACACAGTGTTTTTAACAAGCCAAACAAACTCATTTTTTTTTGACAATACACCTCTACGGTTCAGCCTTTTTGTACAAAATATCGCTCTTTCTATAAATGTAGGAAAGTTTAGAAGAAGTAAGTTTGAAACAGGAGGCAGACAGCGACTTTGCTTTATACTGCATATTAGATGGCGCTAATGTCGTTCCCATAATATAATTAGCGTTAATTCTTATAGAATATCATTTTGTCTAAATCCACTGTTTTAATAAAATTAAAATTACTTAAAACGCTGACAGTATCTATTCTTCTTGATACGTGATATTAATTACCAATAAACCAATTATAAGGATCATATTATATATATATTTTTAATTATTTGGCCTGAAACCTTACACATTACTAATTAAACTGAGTTTTATACTTAATTATAAGAAAATTTTAAATTTTGTTTACAGTTTTCATCATCATGAGCTTCCTTTTGTGCATAGATACAGAGAACATAGAGCACACTTTGAATTGAACTTTGGGCAAGCGTACTTTGTCTTCTCTGGGCTTTCTGACGTTACATAGCATTTGCAATTTACAAAAACTAAACCTGCGATCTCTGGCATAGTATTTTAACTGATAGTTGTTACAGAAGCAATATATTTCATAGGCTAATACAATTATAGGGAATATTAGCCAAAACAATTTCATAAATATCCAAACCAAGAACACGAAAATTCCTGAACACGAGAGAATATTAAAGGATAATGCTTTTTTTTAGTTATGGCTTTTTGACAACTTTATTATATAAAAATTTGTAAAGTTTGTATATATGCATATCCATTAAGGGTTTTGACCAAATTTTGTTCCGTCACCGGTAGATAGATGGCTTATGTTTTTTTTACAAAATATATGAAAAGCGGATAAGACATTTTTGCCGAACAGACGAATATTAGGTACTTTTGCATTTAAAATAATATTTATATGTAGGTACATTGTACATATAATTTTTCTATACCAAATTCGAGATGTTTTTAAAATAATTTTTGTTTGTATTCCATACTACAATTTATTTATATAAGCTTAATTTCAATTGCTTATGAAACTGTATACAAATGAAAAATACATATGTAAATTTTATGCAATTGTATGCATAAACAAACATTTCATTGTTTTCACCAACTTGTTCTCATACTATGAAATATTTAACATTTATTAGATATAGTTTTAACCACAGGACACATATACATACATTAATAATATAGAGTGTGTATAGATTTTGTCTCTCAATGAGTTACAGAATCTTCACAGAACATACCTGATATTTCTGTCTGTATGTATGCACTTAGAACTAATATAGTGCACGATTATATTGAGTAATATAATATAAATTGATTTCTTTATATTTTTCCCATGTTTCAGAAGAAATGTACATAATATATAAAATGTTTATTGTCTTTAAAAGATCGTTGAGGTAATTAGATATTTTTGTGATCAAGTCATAAGTTATTTACTAACTATAGATCAATATATTAGTATTATAAAGGCATCAAAACTTTCTGAATATCCCTCAGAATGCAATACATCTAGTATGAATCTTACAATTGGAACCGTACTGGCATTATCCTAAAGAATACGTGCTACTATGAAATAAATCTTACTTTTCTCCTTATTTTCACAACACTGCACTCATTGTATATTCGCATCGCTTGTATATTTATGCATATGAGATATGATAACGTAAGTTCTGATATGAACACATAAGACATGTTAGTCTAAGGTGCTACAGCCTCAAGCATGTTATCTACCGTATACAGATTTTAAAATTCATGCAAGATTTTATAAAGATGACAAAGGTGCTATGTTGGCTTTTTCAAAAAATATGCAACTGGGTTGATGGTTTGGAACGTAGATAGTTTATATTTTTGACAAAAAATGTAGTTATTATTATTTATTTTACTGGGTGTGGTTCCGAGGTCGGCCCTAGCTACGTCGACCAGTTATGGTCCATTGTAGCTACCAAAACTAGTCATTCTTGTAAATAACTACAATTTTACCCAAACGTAAAATTGTAGTTATTTACAAGAATGACTAGTTTCTATTATTTGAGACGAGATAGCACCTTTCTAATTTCAACTACTATAGTAAAACTGTACAATAAAAGAGCCTCATTAATAAATACATATGTTAGGACAACAACACA